CATGTGGAGTGGGAAACCATAAAACAAGGTGGTAGATCTTAGGGATGGTTTATATAATGTAGGACTAGAGTCAAGATAACAGACAAGGATTGCTAAAGACAAGGTTTCATGTCAGAGGACCCACGGTTGCTCCAACATATCATGTAGACAATAGTTTAGGAAGCAGAGCTATATGGTGTCTGAAGAGGTGAGTAGAGGAATGTGAGCAAGGGAATGCTGTATGGAGAAGGAAGGGTGAACAGGCTTTCCTTTTACTGGAGGACAGGGACTTAAACCAAGCTGGCTGGAGCTGCAGGCCTGTGGGTAGAGGGAAACTGCCTGAGAACAGAAAGCTAACCCAGAAGCTGATTGTGGAAGCTATGATTTTCCCCTCCTTTCCATTTCTAAGTGTCAGAATCCATATGATTTTAAAGTAACAGACTCTGATACAGTGATACAGTAAGATCTTGGCTTATAGATGGAATGTTGTACTATCTGGAAAAAGAGACCCTGAAAGTGAGGAATGACACAATTCATTAAATAACTCTTGTCTGCATGGAAACATATACTTAACTCAGAGTAATGGCTCAGATGAAAAGCCATACTCATGCTAAATATTTCACAGAGGACAATATTACATGACTTAAGGAAAATAAAACACTGAATTTTCAAAGTGATAACCAAATACTTTGTACCTTACAACACCACAAAACCATTGTCCAAGACCTGTCACCCTGTCACCCTAATTGAAAGTCTCTAACCACATAAAACTGCCCGGAAACCAGTCTCAAGACTGCACTGTTTGTCTCTCTGGGACCTGTCCATGAGGGGTGTTTTGCTATTTGCTGTGGATGGAGAGGGTACAGGAGGACCAGCTAAGTCCAAAGTCAGACTGTGGTAAAGGAAAAACATCAATCTACCAAACTCACTAAAGCTGTCTGGGCCTCACAGGAGCTTCAGGGAAGCTATGAGACAAGACTTCAAGAACACTGATCAGGGAAGAGTCTAGAAGCAGGTGGCCATATTCCACACATTTGTTTTCATGCTAGTATGTAAGCCTGTACTTGGCAGGTGAAGGCATAAAGATCTTGAGGCTAGCCTTGGCCACACTGTGAGTTCAGAGCTGGCCTGGTTCACACATCAAGACCCTTCCTCAAGCCAAACACCCTTGCAGAGATAGAGAATTTGTTTTGTGTCAGATGCCCAGAACTTAAAATGTCTGCTCAAATATATGTGTATTATGTGTACCTATACACATATACATATTTCCCAGACTAATCCAAACACAAAACCTACTTTAGAAAGTAACACAGATGAAAACTACACATTAACTGTGTCAAATAAAATGAATGTCAACGTGCTGTACAACATTTAAAACCTGCATTCCTCCTGCGCAACATGGCAAGCCATAGGCTAAACCTCCTCTGGCTCCAGTTTATTACAGCTGAATTAAGCATCCCCTCCCACGGCAGGTTTAAATGACTCACTGGTCCTTCTGCAGTCCTGGTTTCCCTGGTTCAGTCCCCAGTTCAGCCCCTGGGCCCTTTGCCTCTGGCACCTTTGCCCTAGTCTACCTACTCAGATGTTTTCTGGCTGTTCCCATCAGTTTGCTCACCACTGGAACCTGTGGGAAATTGATAAAATGCTCAGAAAACAGAGCCAGTTAGTCTGCTGCTTTCGCCACTCTACCACTGACACACAGGGTGGGGACACTGAGATAAAGGAGGGAAGGACTCTTCTGATTGTCCCAGGGCCCTCAAAGTGGTATTTCAAAAGGACAGAATGGCAGTGATTCCCCCTAGACTTCATAAATTTGGGACCTAATGGCCTCTATCCCTGACCTACCTGTATTCTGCATGGCAAGTACATGAGGAATAAAGAACTATACACCACCTAAGTGTATTTACTTACACAATACAGCCTGGCTTCTGAAGTCTCTCATTATCTTATGGGAAACACCCTCCCTCCTCTGCCACTCCTTTCTCCCTCTTCTAAAGTGAATTCAAGAAGCCAGCTGTTTATGTTCTAACTTCAACGAGACATAAACAAGTACCCAGGTATGAAGTAACTGAGAAGCCAGAAGGAAAATGGCAGGAAGAGATAAAGTGGGCAGGCAATGTAGCACTTAACAGAAAGGGAGACCATTTAGATGTGTCCGTTTAAATTTTTCTTTATGAGTTAATTAGTTAAGCTTTGTGAGTCTAATCATTTTCACACATACAAAGTCAAATCAGAGAAGAAAAAAAAAAAAAATGCAAGGACGTCAGACCTGTAACTCCAAAACGGACGACTGGAATGAAGTTTCACATCAGCCCATGCTTTGTGCCAGGACAGACAACAGTAGTTGCCTTGTTGCATGCATCGAAATGCTTAGTTTTGGAAATTCAAATCTGTTTTTTTTTTCTAAAAGTACATTTTTAAATCTTAAATTTCAAAATATAACCTGTTAATGATACAAGAAAAGTACCATCGTTCCTGCGAGCACAGAAACTCGCTTGCTAGATACATGCTGTTGAAAAAGCATAGTTTGTAGACCTCCCTTTGGCAGGGTTTTATTAAATAGTATCATTTGATAGAAGAGTTCGAAGTTATATGTTCCCAGAAGCTATTTGCTGTAAGCAAAAATGTCCGGCAACCTTATTACACTGAGAAACAGAACCACTTTCCTTGTGCTCATGTAAGAGCTTCAAGAAGGGACAAACACAAGGAGCTAGCAAAAGGGAAAGAAAGTAGCATATGCCCGCAGTGAGGCACTCAGGGCAAGGTGCCTAGCTCAGCTTGCTCTTCCTGAATAATGTGACCCTTTCATCACACTCTGCACCATTTCTCAAGAGCGTCCCTGTCTCCCACCCATTTTTATTTCCCTCTTTCCAAACACCTGACTCATCCACTTTTCTCCAACACCACCGGCTAAGCCTCCCCTTCTACCCTGTAGCCCCCTTAGCCAGATTTGCAATACTCATGGAAGAGATGAATGTTCTTGGAAGGGGGCAGTGTGACCCTGGTTCCCAGAAGTTCATGAAGCACACAGAAGTGTAAGGGAAGCTCAGGAGCTCCAGGTGTGAAAGCAAAATCAAACAAACAAACAAAAAGGTATGGACAATGGTCCTCCTTATGCGGCAGCAATGCCAAACAGACTCTAGCCATTGAGCTTCTGGGTAGACGCATCCCTGCACCAGGCAGCTCATTACAGAAGGAAGCCTTCTTGGGTTTCCTAAGTGGATAGTGAAGAGCATGGATGAATACCTTCCCACTGACCTGCTAGCAGGAGGTCACTTGAGTGTCCCTGTGTCTACTCATTTCTCAAGCCTGGCCCATGGAAGTGTGTTACTTTATAGGTCCCTCAAAATGTAGGAGCAAGCTTCACTTGAGTGGACATAGAAAACTTCCAACTCCATTCACGATCTTTTTCACAGACTCATTCTAGCTTTGCTCTCTCTCAACTTTTCTTTCTGGGGCTTGGGAGATGAGAATGTGCCAGGATGGGAAGAGGGTAAGAGACAAGACTGAAAACTTCCTAGGTGTGGCTCTGGGTATAAGGCACCTGGAGGACCTCAACCACATTGTCACCTGCCAGCAAGCATGTCTGATGTTCAGCTCTGCACAGTTGTGTAAGGGGATGCTCTGATGCAATGCAGAGCAGTATCACAGAGATGAAGGGAAGGCTGCTTGCTCCCCAGGTATTGCAGGGATCAGTGTTTAAAGAAAAACTCCGCAAATAAGCGTCCCATTGCAACTGCCTTTAAGCCACCTCCAGCTGGGAACTACTGCCTCTCCTAGCCCAAATTTGTGATCTCCTGAGAAATATCGCGCTTTTCTAAACAAGTCAATGAAGCCTCCTCGGCAAAAAAAAAAAAAAAAAAGAAAAGAAAAGAAAAGTTTGTCTCATACAGAAACAATTCAACAAACATTTTGTCCACAGCACATACCTCAAATGTCATACTGTATTCATGGTATATATAACACACTGTTTCATTTGCCCTAGCAAAAAACACAAAAGCTTCAAAAGGAACTTTCCATTTCTAAAGAAGACAACTGTCATAACCTGTATTGCTAACATCCTCACATCCTCCTCTGCTAGGAACAAAGTCTCACTTCAAACAGACAACAAAAATTTATAACATAAAACCATTCCTAGAATCCTTTAAACTTGACGTTTAAGATTTTGAGCATTTTAAAGCAACACAGTAAATGAAGAAATGGAAAAACAAAACAAAAAACGTGAACATTTATGTTACAAACACTTCTCCTAGGAAAACTATGTAAGTTACCCAAACTGACAGTCCTGTCCCACAAGCTAAGGGGTAGGTTCACTAATTTTAGTATGCTGTACTTATGAAGGCTTCTGGGCCAACCTCTAGGTGCTGCTGATGCGGAGACCCCCTTCCCAAAGACTGCCTTTCTCCCCCTCCCCCGATGGCACTGCACTGCGCAAAGCCACCACAGGCTGTAGCCTAATAGATTGCTACTGGGGAACCACAAAAACTAACGTTCCTCGGGGAGCTAAATAAGGTTATTTTACTTTTTTTTCAGTCGAAATTAAACTACAGAGAGGTTAGCTTATTGGAAGAAGATAGGAGCGTTTTGTCAAAGCCTTCAAGGAAGCTGAAGCAGCAGAGAAATGTACAATCAGAGCCCTCCTCCGTCTTCAGGCCTCTTTCTACAAGGAGTGTCAGTACATAAAAGAAGTCTGAGGCGAGCTCGGGAAATGCGGGCAGTCAGGGCGCAGTGGTTCTTGGCTGCACTGGCAGCATCTGGTAAGATAGCTCCAGCATCCGCGAAGCTGATGAGATGGAAGTGTGGGGGGAGGGAGGAGGATGCCTTAACGTTCGCATCAGATTAACCAGTGCACAACCGCGGCGCCCGCGCCGCCGCATCAGTGGGGACCGGGTACCCCAACAGCCTTAGGGCGCCGGGTAGGGGGCGCAGGGCCTTCCCTGGCACTGAGGCTGGGGACTAGTGTGCGCCGTGCGCAGCCCGCAGAGAACCCATCAAGGATGGGTGAGGCCCCTTGCCTGTACCTGCGATGGACCAGGTCCAGCGGTAGAACTCCACAGTGTCGTTGAGTGCAGTGGACACCGCGTTCAGGACGCTGCCGGGCTCTGAGTCCAGCAGCCCCATCGTGGCGCGGAGAGGTGCGAGCCGCGGCGAGAAAGAGAGGCCCCGAGAGACTGTGGGAGACTGCGGCAGGGACCCTGCAGGCAGCGGCGTCTCCTCCTCCTCCGGGCGCCGCGGCTGGGGATGCAGGCGGCGAGCAGCGGCGAGCAGCAGCGACAAGAAGCCGGAGGGCGGAGGAGGAGGAGGACCCGCCGCAAGCGCCCAGCGCTGCTCCTCTCTGTCGCCGCGCGCTGCGGCAGCTCCAATCCCCTCGCCCGCATCACGTGGCCGCGCGGGGCGGGGCGGCGCCTCCTCTCGCCCGGGGCGCGGGGATGCTGCATTCGCGAGTGGTGGCCGGTCTGCGCAGGCGCGCTAAGGCTTGCCCCCCGGCCGCCACCCAGGCAACCAGAGCGCCGGAGGGAGACACCTCGTACCCAGTCCACCTCCCCGCGCTTGTGTCTTCCTTCCCTGCAAGCCTGCCCACGGTTACCTCTGCTCCGCCGGATGCATCGTGGGAAACTGGGCCGCAAGGAAGGGGAGTTTGTGGACAAACATGAGTAGGCGAGGCGTTTCTGGTCGCTGCCTTTCATTCACCTCCATTTCATTTGTACTTTTGCTGTCTTCACCTTCGGCCCGTGCTTGTCACCCAGACAAGGAAATGCAGGTGGTTTCACTCTAAAGGAATGCCATTTGTCTCATGCAGCGCCTGTGGCAGTAGTCCGTGGTCATCCCATGCATGTACTGATACATCAAAGCAATGTAATTGTGCTGAATTAAGCAACTGGAAGTTCAGAGAGGAGGTAACCGTAAGAATAGGTTAAAAAGTCTGCTTGATCAATCTGAAAGGATGATGCCGAGGACACAAGGGACAATTGAGAAGAGGGCCAAGTAATTTTTTTCATTCTGGAAAAAAAAAAAAAATAGTTCAGATAAGATGGGAGGCAATAGAAGAGGCCACACCTATGGCAAGTAACAAAGAAAATTTACACTGTATAAATTTGATAGTTTCCAACATAGAGCAAAAATGTTGTGAATGGTCCAGTAACGATTTCATCAGCACTTTATTCAGACGTGCTACCTCCTTTTGCCCCAGCTTTTCTCTGCCTGCCAACTTAAAATGCTCATTCTAAAAGCCACCAAGTCAAATGTCTGACATTGCTGACATGAGTACTACTTGAGCCCAAACTCAGTGCTCTTAAATAGCAACTCATAAATATTTATGGTGACAAAATATAACACCACTCTCAGAGCTTCAGGGAGAAAATGGTAATTAAAAGTAACTGATTTGTTGTATAACTCAGGTCACCATAGCAATGTGATATGGCTTATTAACTTGGCAAACCTACCTGCCAAACTGAAGTTTCTCTGAAAAATTTCTCAAGTCTCAAATTCCTAGTTATGATCCTAGTCAACTGTAACCTGTGAGTTGGTTTTACCTTTGCTTGTGATATTGATTGCTAGCTCTCTGTCTTGGAGTGTTTTTAAGGAGAAAAGATTCCTCACCTCACAAACCTCTCCATATTTGCTTATTTAATATCATATGAAATTATTAAAGCAGCTTTATCCAAATATCTCATTGGTGCCCCAGTAGAGGCCAATTTAAGCTCCTTATTCACTAGGGGGCGCTTGTCACATAAGGAAATCATAGACAAGCCAGATGAATGATAAGTTACAAATGGCAACTGTACTTAATCACTATGACTGCCTTAGTTGGGAGCATACTCATTTCTATTTATACTTATGAACTGTTCAAGCATTCAAAGAAGAAGCAAAGTCTTAGGCTGTATACATTATTGAGCTCTACTACCTGGCATGAAAGACTACATGTAGTCCATTACTTAATTTATAAGCAGTTTACAAATTCGGTGATTGTCCAGAATCGAAGCCTGCTGCTGTGATTTGAATAGATTCCTCAAGGTTAATGTGTTAGAACTTAATCCCCAATACAGCAAGGTAGAAAGATGAGGTCAGCAGGGAGTTGTGTAGATCATGAAGGCTACACCTTCAGGAACAGATTAAGATACAAAGGGTTCTAAGTTTCAAGTTTGGTCTCTCACAATAAATACTTCTTAGTTATCTACCTTTTTATCATGGAATGATAAAGGGGAAAAACACTCACCAGATCTAGGGCCTTGATCTTGGGTATCCTGTGTTCTCTATAAGTCACTTAGTCTTTGTACTCTTTTGTGGCAACATGGAACAGACTACGAAATGATGAGAAGTGGGTCTATGGCCACTACAGATGCCAGGAATATGGAAGTGGATTTGGAGTGAAGTGATGGATAGATACCAGAAGAGTTTCAAGGATTAGTGTAAAAGCTAGATTTCATAAAAACAATTAGAGCAGTGTGATGCAAAAGAGAGAACTCGGGGAAGACTGCATGCGGACAACCTGAGTGGCCACTAGCAGAATGTTGATGGAAATACAAACAATATAGGTCATTTTGATGACACCTCAGATGGAAATGAGGAAGAAACCATAGGAAAGTCATCCTTGTTACAAGATGGCAAATTTGTACCCATGCCTATGAATGAATGGAAGGCAGATTAAGAGTAATGAGCTGGGATACACATATGGTAAAAGAAATGTCCAATTAAATGATGGGGGCAGTTGCTTTTAGTTGGATTCAGTTAGATGTGATAGACATAACAACTCTTTGACTAAACCTATGCCCATCCCAAAACCTGCATGTGTCTCTATGGCTCTTTCTACTATCTCAAATCCCACAGAGGCCTTCTGGGACTAGGACTTTAAAAAAAAGGAGGAGGAGGAGGAGAGTGGTTCAAGTCTGGGTTGTTTTTTTGAGGGGGGTGGGAGTTGTTTTGGCCAGATACAAGTACAATTTTTTTTAAAAACCAACAAGAATATACACTTCTTTTTAAAGTTTAATCTATTTATTCTCAGGTGAAATACACTGGAGCAAGAAATGCATTTATGTGTCCAAAGCAAAGAATGACACAGTAACATCATGACTCCTGACAGAAAACCACACAAAAGGAAAGCAAAGTGGAGAAAGGTGGCTTTCTCATGACTGACTAACTCCCATTGAGTTAGTCAAATTACAAACACCATTTCTGCTAAGAGCATTGAACCCAGAATGCATGTAGGAGAGTACCTTCAAATATTCCAACACATGGAAAGTTAGCTAAATAAAAATGAATTTATCCTTCACACAGTTATTTGTAGTGGTTTTTACTTATAATCACTTCATGCAGCAAACAAAACAGGTAAATAAGTAAATACAGATTGTCACAAAAGAATGTAGTAATGTTACAAAATACTTAGAAGATTTCCCCAGGTTCTTAAAAGGAAGAATTCAGAGAAGACATAGGCAGTTTCAACAGGAGCTTATTTAACAAAACAGGCCAAAGAGAATAGTACACACCATACAAAGATTAAAATAGACTGACCTCAAGTGCATTATGGAATTTTAAGAATAAATGTATGAATATTTCTGGTGGACAGCACATTTACTGGGGTAAGAAGACCCTTTCCTCCCCTCCCAAATCATGGTGGATTGTTACCCTTTTAGGGTAATGCTTCCCATAACCCTCTTGAAATGGGGTAGGGATGTCCAAACAACAATGTAAATATTATTTTAAGAGTTAGGGTCTTTTGGAAATGCAGACTCTTCATTTAATGGTTCATGCAAGTCAATTTGGAAAGTTTCCTGGTGCCTTCATTTTTAATATGTCAATAAAGAACCTGGTTCCAGATTCAAGGATATTTAGCCAGAATGAGGCATTCTGTCAGTAGATAGATCTGTCTACATCCAGCTAGAATTTCCTTTAATTCCCTCACACATCTAACTTATTTATTTGCTTATTTGTTAATTTTGTTTTTCAAGACAGGGTTTCTCTGTGAAGTACTGGCTGTCCTGAAACTCACTCTGTAGACCAGGCTGGCCTCAAACATAGAGATCTGCCAGCCTCTGCCTCCTGAGTACTGTGATTAAAGGCATTCTCCATCACTGCCTGGCCAACATCTAATTTCTTTTCTAACCAGGAGACATAGTCATCAATATACAACCTTTCTTGGTTTCCTTATATCCAACTTCTTGTCTTACTTAACTCAGGAAAATTTCATTGAATGGGGTCAGAGTATAATTTGCTGAACAAAATAAATAAGATTAAGGCAAAATGGCAGTGCCATCAGCTAACCTCTACAAGCTGAGGATAAGACCCTATTGCTGAAGACAGAGTGTTCTTAATGTAATAGGACATGAATAAATCAAGCTCACATTCAATTGGAAGATTCACCACCACCCCTGCTGGCTAGCATTCATAGTGCTAAAAGATGTAATTGATGATATTAGAGGAGAAAGGTATTTATCAGTTCATTCAGCTATGAATCCTGTAGGCTATAATAGCAACCTGCCTGCAAAGATGTGCTCATTGATGCAATAATGTTGTTGGGGTAACCAATAAATTTTTATTGGATTTCAAGCTCCTCATGAAGTAGGACTCACACCTAACAATGTTAATGAAGTCAAGAATCTGAGACTAGAAAGGTCAAGGGCCCTAAGGAAATACCTACTACAACTTTCCTGCTAAATGAACACAACAATAAAAACACTATTAATGATGTATTGCTATACTCATAGATCAGTGCATTGCTGAATCTTCATCAGAAACACTTCTTTGTGCAATACATGGTAATTGACATAGAGACCCTCAAATGAACAATGCACAGAGAGTGAGAGATATTGGACATTCGGTCCTCAGTTGGATGCCTTTATCATTCCTTTCCACTCAGGGTTTGGGGGGGTCTATGTAGAATGAAAAGTAAATATATTTTAAGAGCCAGAGGTGGTGGACAACTTCAAGAAAATAGTCACCCTTAGCCAAGAAGCTATTCGTAATTATAGGAGAGGGGAAAATCAGTTTTCTTCAATGAAGTGACACTAAGGATATCAACTACAATCCAGAGTAGAACTCCGTGTCTCCGTGTGTGTGTGTGTGTGTGTGTGTGTGTGTGTGTGTGTGTGTTTGGTTTAGTTGTTTTTGTTTTGTTTTGCTAGAGGGATAAAGAACATTAAGTTGGGTAGGTAAGGGATAATCTGGGAGAAATTAGGGGAGGGGGAAAGGTATGATCAAATTATACTGTATGAAATTCTCAAAAAAATAAATAATAACTAAAAAAAAAAAAAAAACTAAGGTGAAACCCAGGTGGTGGTGACATAAGCCTATAATCCCAGCACTGGGGAAGCAGAGGCAGGTGGATCTCTGTGAGTTTGAGGCTAACCTGGTCTACAAAGCTACACAGAGAAACC